ATGACAGCCAGGCTGATTAGACTGTCTGCTCACGGAGGAATTTTGTATTAAGTTTTGTTTTGGCTATTTCAAAGTTTCTGTCTCTGTTTGTGTTGGAGGATCATCACAAAAGCTCAAACCCCAAGTGTTTTGAACATTACGGCCTTCATCTATTTATTTCCCATTTCCCACTATCCTCTCAGTGTGTGTCCTGAGCTCACACACTGCTGATCATGCTGCCCTGAGTGGTTGACCTGAGACCACACACACACACACTCATACACGTATACACACACAAACACACAAATTGGATTAGCTTCTTTGGATCTTGCCCAGATGCTGTGTGGTAGGTCATGTAATAACTGACCCGTACCGGTCCCAGGAGGGGTTTCTCTACAACCTCATTAAGGAATACTACCTGTTTATAAGTTTGTGCCAGCCGTCTTAGTTGCACTATCCTTTTTTCTATTATTCCTCCTGGTGCCTGCATACAGTCAGCATTGTTGAAGATATCCAACTTCATTTCCTCCTTTTCCGGACATTTAGAAGAGACAATTTTCTGCCTTTTATTCTTGTACAGCACAAAAAAAAACTGCTGCCACAGACTCAATTGTCGCCTGAGCTAAATAATCTGTCACAGTAAATGTAAAGCCGTAATTTGGTTTTGTCAAAGTTTCTCTGATTGATCGTTATTTCACTGCAGCTACGTTCAGCATTTTCATTCAAATGCATTCATTTACACTCTGCACGCTGTCAATCACCCAGAGAAGGAAAAGAAAGTCACTGCATATAATAAATAATCTTGCAAACAAAATAAACCTCACTCTCATATGCTTTTATTTCTAATTATTTTTAAGATAGGTGAGATATGGTGATGGTTATGTTTCAACAATGAAAAACAAGGTGAATACTGTATGCATCACAAAATGATTGACGGTGTAGTGTAAACTGGATGTAGCCAGTAAATGAGCTGTAACTGAAAATAACATAACTCTTCTGCTTTTTAGAGTGACCGGATAATGTTTTCCACTAGGTGTGGTGTGGTGTGTGTGTGTGTGTGTGTGTGTGTGTGTTGCTCATTAGAGATCTAGACTCATAAGGTATATTTATCCGTTACGAGAATAAAAAAAGGAGTGTTTGTTTGTGTGTGCACGATGTTCCATGCGTTATTTCATGACAAGCACTGTCATGTCTTAGCTTGTTTTATGTGGAACTTGGCTCGAAACACAAGAGCAGGCTAATAAAACGTGTTTGTGTGCTGGAGGCAGACTGGGAGAACAGCGACAGACTAGTGTGTGTTCGCAGTAAAGAGCGAAAACGAGCTAAATGATCCTCAGCCCACACAGCTTTTGACAAGCGTCTGTGGTGGCAGGCTTGTCTCTCCTGCATTCACGTGGCCTCACGCCGCTCTTTATTGCATTACAGTCTGCGTTCATTTGAGAATAATATGTCAAGCTGGGACATAAGCCAATCAGTACACATTCCCTGCTGCCGTTGTCTATTCACCCTATTTGCCTGAGCTTTCCTCTGTCGCTTGGCCTCTCCCTTTTCCCGACTTCCACTCCCTCTGTCTCTCTTTTGTTTCTCCCTCTGACTTGCCAAGCCTCCAGATAGCAGCAGGTGTTCACACTTACACATGATATAACATCTCACAGTGAGTCAGTAATGAAAGATGGATGCTTGATGACTTGCGTTTGTTAGGTGTGGCGGCATATTTTTCTAGTGGCTGTGTGTTTGGGTGTGTTGTTGCTACATTCAAGGCCAAAACCAGAGTTTATCCATTTATCTGATATGAGAGAAACATCTATGTGCTAGTGCTTTGGATATAGATACACACAGATATAGATTTAGTACAACACAGTTCAATATGATAGTGATAAATGATAGAAGGGCCTTGTAAGAGGAAAAATATTAAATAAAATATCGTGTTATTACCTCACATCTTTGTCTCAAATAAATCTCCAGAGTTACATTTTTGTATAGTTTTACATCCACGTTACAAAATGTTGTTGATGACTCATCTTTTTGATCCCAGTTATTAAAACGTGATTACAGTCCTTGGGGCGATACAGCCAGCCCTTCCCGTAAAACCTCCAGGTCTACCAAGCTGAATTAGCCATCTAATAGTTACATCAGCCTTAAGGTGTGTAGCTGGGTGTTGGTTTGCACAAGGGGCATCAGTATCATCAGCAGCTTTCTTTATTTTTCCAACTAAACGAGAGGGCAAGTGATCCTGCCGTCATTGTTGATTTTCACCACTTTTGAACTTTAAAATGAAGCGACTCTTGGCATGAAGTTCTGACCCTAACCTCTGTTTCATGTGGAAACACGACAAACTGCTGAAGCAAATTACTGTCAAAGTAATTTAATGTGACCTTTAGGAAGGAGTTCGGTTACATCAAATCACAGTAGAAAAAAAAAACAAGAAAAACAAGACCAAAGCTCATCAGCTCCCTTGAGTCTAACTTTAACTTCCATTTCCTCTCATTTTTCTTCTGATTCCATTTCACTGGCCTTCACTGGCCAGTGGAACAAATTGGTCTTGGATGATGTAAAAAATTGTGACGATAACTAGTCTTGAAATGAATGTCTGAGTCACGGCTGTCCAAGACTGAGTCACGACCAAGTAAAGTCTTTACATGTTGTCTCAGGAACAAAAAGATTATGTCTCCTACAGTACTGTGTGTCTGTGTTGAATGTCACAGTCAGCAGAACTGTTTTCCCAAAGCCGTCATTCTTCTGGTTCAGGTGTTGCTGGTGATGAGACAGGGACCACAGACGAGATAAATCTCTTCTACTGCCTTGCTGTTTCCCCCACCAACCCCCCTGTGTGTGTGTGGGTGTGGGTGCCACTTCTCTTGCTCTCTGCTGCCCCCATCTCACTTCTCTTTGTGCAAGTCTGGCCAAGAGCAGCTCTTTTGTTAAGTAATAAACAGGCATGTGACTGCAGATTTAAGGCAGCGGTATAAACCACGTTCACTCTGCCTCCGCTGCCATTGTTGCAGAATTAAAGACACACTATCACTTAGGTGGAGTCAAAGGGGTGTCGAGAAGGCCCCAACACTTGTTTTTCCACAGCCGCAGAGTCTAGTTGTGGTCAGGCTATCACTGCTTCCCTTGTCTTCCTCCCTAATGTGCTTCTCTGCGTCCCTCATTTCCTCCCCACCTCTCTGCTTCTCATACACCCCGAGCCAATCTCACAAAGGAATGAGAGGGAGGAATAAGAGGGAGGAGAGCAAACAAGCCTGTGGTGGTGCAGAGAGGGAGGAGTGGAGCAGGATAAAGATGTGGAGATGGAGGAAGGAGGGGAAATGAGGTTGAAGCTGAGGCTGTTGTGCCTCTAGGACCAAATCAAGAAAGTCCAGTGTGTGTTTACTTGCATACGTGGATGCCTGTGTGGCTGTACGCATGCTTTTTGTGTGTTCTGTGATTGTTTGTTTGCGCTGGCACCTACATGATTGTGTGGCTGAATGTACGCGCGGGTGTGTGGCTGAAGCTGTTGTCAGTTAATGTGTGTGTCTGTGTGCGTGCAGGCTCAGCTCTGGCTGCCTCTGCGGCTCATCACACGCTACAGCCAACTGCTGATTACACAGCACTTGTTTTGTCCCCGCTCTACTCTGTTCTGCACCTATTATCAGCCTGGGAGCCTGCGCAGAATTAGACAGAGAGCTTTGTCTAACACACTGTTACTCAAGTCTCTCCTCTTCAGCTGTTTTCTCCTTGGCTGTGCGCTGCAGAGGACACCTCTGTCTGTGTCTCCTCAAGGCTGAGGACCCAGCAAACAGTGAGACATTTGAGTCCAACAGTCTTCGCTCATTCCCTTGATCTCTCTCTGGGGCTAAAGCCTGTTTACTCAGCCTGATGACATTATGACAATCAAGAGAGGATCAGTTCCGTTCCACTTCCTGTCTGGAGGCTCCCTGGTGTGTGTTTTGGGATAGTTTGGCATGCAGAGCTACATCGGCTCGCTGATTCATTAGAGTTTCCCGTGCTGTGACACCCCCAGCATCAGGCGAGTGTTAGCAGGCCGTGACTTATTGTCTCAATGAGGTGCTGATGAGTTGACTGATGCTAGCAGTACCCCGTGTCATTTGAAAAGCAATCGTGTGAAAGCTGATTACACAGTAGTTTCAGACCGTTGGTGTCCATTTTCTATCGTCCAGGCGGACTGGGTGTTCCTTCTTCCTGCCTGCTGGAAGAGGAGCTGCAGGGTTCAGTAAATGATGACAGGAACAGGGTGGAAAGATAGCAGATATTCTCTCATGTTCAGAGGATTAGGAGGTAAACAAAGACAGGATTCTGGTAGGAAATCACAGACGTATTTTTTAACAAATCCTGCGGGATGTTAGAACACATATTTTCATTACGCCATTTATGTTGTTGTTCATATGTGTCCGTGCTGCAGAGATGATAGGGGAGCAGGAAGCATCAGTGTTTACCTTGAAGAATAAATGATCCGCCCTTTGTGGAAAGACTTTGGTCCCAGGAGGCCTGGATGAGCAAAGCTCTGCCCTGAACCAGGAATGTCCTGTTTTGTGAGGCATGACTGCAGTTTTTTCCGTCCCTCCTGCTCTCTGTGTGCAGCCTCTCAGTCACACAATGGGCATCAGAGCAACAAAAAAAACCTTGTGCACAAATCCAATCAAACCCCTACTCGTTTAACCATCAACTTAGCCAAACCTTCCCGATGTGCGTTTAATTTGTCTCCATTCTGAGCCCCTCTGCTCTCTCAGCACTGCAGCGATGAGTCGCAGTAGCAGCTAAGCGTTGACAGGCAGTTCTGATGTTGCTTCATCACGTCTGGTACAGTTATCCATTGCAGTACATGAGCTGGATCTGCTTTCTGTGTTCAGACTTCACAGAAGGCTCCTGCGTCAGGCTCATGACAAAGTTTATGAGAAAAAATCAGTGGGGCAGACAGTGTCTCAAGTATGTCTGCCTCAATAGTCCCCAGGTTTTAAAGGCTCTACAATAATTGATTGTGTTAACTCCCATTTCACTCTTTCTCTGTCTTTCTGTAGGCGCTAGCAGCCAATGCAGGCACAGGGTTTGCCGTGGCCGAGCCACAGGTGGCCATGTTCTGCGGAAAGCTCAACATGCATGTCAACATTCAGACCGGCCGCTGGGAACCCGACCCATCCGGAACCAAGAGCTGCGTAGGAACCAAGGAGGGTGTGCTGCAGTACTGCCAGGAGGTGAGTCACTGTGACACTGACACATGTCTAATCCCCTTCCTATCACTCTCATAGAAGTGATGAAATTCAAGCACCTAAGTCGGTTAGAAAAGGGCAGAGACAAAGTGGGTTGTCCAACAAATGAAATTACTTCAGGGAGAGACTGTGGAGGTGCTCACCCATGTTCAGAGGAGCCATTGTATCCTTTTATTTTACTCTATGAGCTTGACGTTACAGGGGTCGGGTGATTTTTGTTTTAGATCTTGATTTGAATATTTAATTTTCTTTATTAAAATATCCTAATTTTATGGTACCTAGTTGAGTCTTAGGCCACATTTGCTATGTTTAGATTTTCTTAAATGAAATAGTGTTGCAAATGTAATTTACTGAGAGTGTACTTTAAAGAATAGTTTGACCTTTTCTGACATTATTCGCTTTATTAAGTTGGATGAGATGAAGATCATTCTGTCAATCAGTGGTTCTCAAACTTTTTCTGTCATGCCAGCTTCCTGGAGCCCAAAAAAATGCATGCCTCCCACCCCAACAAAGATGGGTTTATTTTTTATCAACCATTAAGAAAACCTGCTAATTAAAAATGAGTCAAGTTGAATTTGCAATCATTGCAATGAACACAAAATTCAGGTTAGCAAGATAGCCGTGCTAGAGCACATTAATCATATTCATGCAACTCTAGGTCATCCACCTCCCACACCCTCATTTAAGAACCACTGGATTAAGTGAATAGTGTACAGAGGTGCTGGTAGGCAGATTATGTTACATTTAGACAGAGCCAGGCTAGCTGTTTTCCCTTGTTTTCAGTTTTTGTGCTAAGCCAAGGCAGCTGGTAGTAGCTTTGGATTTAATGGACATATATGAAAGTGGTCTAAATCTTCTCATCATCAACTCTCAGGAAGAAATTTACGTTGAACAAAAAATTTGTGTTTTCAATTACTGCTCCTTTTTCCTTTTCTAGGATGTTAAAGTAATGGGAGTTCTATAAAAAATAATACAAGGCAAAAAGTAAATGGAAATGTATTATTGAATACGTCTGTGAGGTTAGAATAAGTTATATTGAGCTAGTGAGGTGGAAAAAGTCAGTTCTTATTGCACTGTGATTTATAATTGGAGAGGCTATTGAGCTGTTCCTGAAAGACGGACATTATTTACAGTATAGTGGGTGGCATTTCAATTAGCAGACCCTGTGACTGTTATTGTCTCAAGCTGTCTCTACAATTAAGGACATGTTTTTCCACAGCACGGATATCCTCAATCTTATTTACTTGTTCCTACTGTATCTCCCAACCCAGGAGGGTTCTGGTATTATTTTCATGGTTTATTATGCAGCTGTCCAAGTAAAAAAAGGAGGGCTGTATATTTTCAAGCAGCCTTCCCCACAAGCTTCAGTTGCATTTATTGATGACATTTTGATGGCATTTGGGGAAAGTGTAAATTGCGTGCTCTTTCATGGCTGAGCAGATGGCATCTAGAAAGTATAAAATGTGGATTAAAGGATCCCATTGAAGCGCCACTTATCGCACCTTCTCCCTCTATCTCTCTCTCTCTCTCTCTCTCTCTCTCACACACACACACACACACACATCCAAAATAAATGTCTCATTATTTAATATACACTCTCTGCTTCTTCTTCCAACAGATGTATCCCGAGCTCCAAATCACGAACGTGGTGGAAGCCAACCAGCCAATTCGTATTGAGAACTGGTGCAAGAAGGAGAAGAAGGTGTGCAAAGGACATGCCCATATCGTGGTGCCTTACAAATGCCTAGGTAAGCTTGTACACTAATAAGTAGTTCAAGGGCTGGGGGAAACCACTTAAAGAGCTGTGAATGGCCCTTTATATCAGGCGTTCTCCATTGCCCTCCCCTCTTCTATATCGGTCCTTTTTTCAACGCAGAGAAAGAAGAGATTATGATACATCTTAGCCATAGGCAGAGGTGACTGGCAATACTGGAGTCTGATTCGGTTGACTAATCCTGGCCTTGAGCTGCAGATTGAGCAGATCCACGCTGGATGGGAGTTAATGTCTCTCAGAATGGATGGTTAAGGGGGGAAAGCTATTATTGCTGGGGAGGCTTGTTGAGCAATAAAGCACAATCTTATTTCCCCCCTCAGACAGTGGCCATAAACTCACACAGACACACAGGGTCAGCGAGAGGGAGGTCTGTGAGGAGGCCTGCTTTATTACTCCCCATTTCTCCATTTGCCTGTGCTGTCACACACACCTCTCTCCCTCCTCTGTCTCCTGCAGCATCACTGTAATCAGCAGTGGCAACATGGCTATATTCCGGTTTATTAAATGTCAGATAGAGCCTCAGACTTTGCAGGCCACATGCCTCCGTGCTCCCTAACTTACAAAAACACAGCACACTGCGGCTGCCTCTGAGGATTGCAATAACAGAGAAATAGAGTTCTGAAACAAGGTTCCTCTCTGTACTTGCAAAGCTTTGTCATGAAGGAAAAGACATATTCCTCTGTGCTGCAAACACTTCTCAGCACCCTTCCTCTGTCCGAAAGCCTCTTGCTGATTGAGTTGTGCTGCTTTCCGGGATGAAAAAGCTATTAGCAGTTCCACTGGACTGTGAAATGGGCTACCATTCAAGAGCATTTTTGGCAAACGCAGAGTGGAGGCTTTTGGGAAATTCATGGGACAGCAAACACCACAACTGGAGTGGCCACTCAGTGGCTGAGACAGGAATACAGATGAGAGAGGTTCACATGCAGCATCAGTCTCCAAAATCCTCCCAGTTTGCTTTCATCTTACATCCCGAAGCTGTTTCCCTCTAACCACCTGCCACTCCTGATAGCCTCCTGTCCTGTCTCCACTGTGGCCGACTGTTGCATCCATCACCAACCCAAGACCTCTCATTATAATTCAGTAACGGTGCCATGACTGCCATTTAATTAAAACAATCCCATTCTGTCCTCTGAAATAATCAAAAAGCTTCATTTCTTGTTCTTTGTACACTTTTTGTCATCACCGTTAAAGGTCTGCACACTCATGCCCTATCGAATTACGACAGCCCTCTCTGCTGCTCTGCTGGGTTGCAAATGAGGAGTCTGAACTGAGAGAACAGAGGAGACAGATGGAGAAGGAGACATAAACATAAGGTGTTGGCAAGAAGGGGGCTATTGAGAGGGTTTCTGCTTAATTATGTAATGGAGCATGTTAGGGGCTTAATTGGAGGGCTCTGATCATATGCTACGAGCCACGGCATGCCTCTGCTACCTCACTGCGCCTCACCTCTTTAGTCCATTATTCGTCAGGCCTCTCTATCATATCATGTTCAATGAAGAGTGTTTTTGAATTATTCATTATTTGTGATGTTCACATACTGTTCCAGAGAAATGGACATGAGGGATTCTGCCTTATATTCATCAGTGTATATTAATTATTGTAGAATCAAAAAGAAATGAAATAGACCAAAGGGAGGTGGGCTATAGCTCGGAGGATATGATTAAAAGGGCCAGTCCAGCACCCATGTCAAGTTAATAGGTTTATATGAATAATGCAAGCGCTAAGGAAGGAGCTCAGTGTAAAGAGAGAAAGATGGGTTATGCTGTATCCCATCTCTCCATGCAAAGGCTCAGTCACAGAGCCACAATCCCCCCGTGTTTCCTGTCCCCAAACAATGGCTCTGCAAATAAATGTGATTTTTGTTCCATGGTACTCTAATCCCTGTAGCATGATGTCTTTGTCAAACAGCAGAGGATTATTTAAGAGACTTTTTTTTATTATTATTATGTCTGGAATAGTGAGAACAGTCAGTGGCAGATGTCTAACTGGGGTGTTGGTTAGTGTGCGTGGTAGACTTGTGCAATAACTAAATTGTGGGGAAAAGAAACAGCAGCTTCTTTGCTGAAAGAAGGGCATTCTGAATAATTGAATCCTGCCATTTTCTGGGTAAACACAGATTTACAAAGATTTTCTGTGCGTGTTACTTCTTATCTTTAAGTTCTATTGCCGTTGGTAGTTATCCGCAGTAGATCACATTTATTTCAGGCATATTGTGGCTTATTCTTAGCTCTTGACCTTTAAAGCTAGACTTTTCAGGAAGAAAGCATATCAAGGCCATGTTTTTGGCAAGAAGAGGAATTTAATTAGCAGAATTTACAGACATGACACATACTTTGCCTTTCCTGTTGACTAAGACTGTTGATTTAACAAAGGGTAGGGCATACAGTGACTCCTGATATCATCACAGGGGCTGAGTCTTGTGATTGTGAATAAGTTGATAATGGATACAAACCTCAGGCTTTTATTAGAGGACCACACCTCTGGCTGTTTGCACTCCTTTGCGTCTGGAAATATTTTGAAATGAGCCTGAACTTTGAAACACAGTGCTGTGGACAAAAACGTGACAGTCAGTCATAAGATTGTGTGACATACTGCAAATTTAACATGTGAAAGGTTAGCTAAGTGTAATACAGCAAAATTAGGAAGTTCTTTGCACGAGCTGGGAGTCAAACCCCCGGACGTTAAATGGTTAAATGTTCTTTCCATTACCCGACCTCCAGCTACTTCATGAATTTTGTCACGTCTGCCCCATGTAATCCTTTCATGTTGGCAAATCAGATTCCTTCCACTTTAAAGGCACAATCCATGAAGCAAATGTAAACAAAAGGGTTGCCAAAAATCAAAGCCTGGAACATGATATCATTCTCAAACTGTATGGCAAGAACTAACACTGGCGCACAACTAAAGTTATTCATATCTTCTTTAATATTCGGTGGTGGAATATTCAGCATGATTATAATCTGAGAAACACATAATACTGACTTTCAACAGCACATGTTAATGAAGTACTTCATAGTTAAGTAGTGATTTCAGATTGAATCATTAAGTGCACTGAACAAGTTATTTGCATTTTCATATCTCATATTGATTACACTAAATGTCATTACTGTAGGCTTCCTTTGGAAAGTCCTTGAAACACAATAGCCATGCTGTCGACAAGCAGATCTTGGTTGGCACTTAATTGAATTCACCACCTCTCAGTGCTGAAAGTATCGCTGGTACACTGGGTGTTTTCTTACCTTTACACTCCCTAGATGCCTGTAGAGCAGCCAGTCTGGGCACAGGAGAGTATTAGCGAGGGTGTCTGATAGATGGAAGGTTAAAAGAAAGGCAGATGAATAGAGTAGGTGGAGAGGAGGTCACAGAGAAAGAAGAGTACGCTCATAAACACATTTCACACAACTACACACGGAGAGAAACACACAGAGCAGGAGTGCTTGCGAGGCACAGCTGCTCTCCAAACACCACCATCCATCACCCACTGCAGTGTGACCGCGTACGGGGTCTGCTTGAAACCCACTCCACCCCGCAACCAAAGCAACCTGTGAATGTGAGAGAACGAGACAGAGAGAGAGAGAGAGAGATGAAATGAAGAGAGAGTGTGAGAGCGAATGAATCAGTTAGCATCCGGTGTGCAGGATATGGAGCTGAGCTGAGAGAAGAGAGAAAAGAGGGGAAATTCACCAATGTAAAATCACTCCTACAAAGTGATTCATGCCTTAAATATTTCACTTATGTAAAAGTACAACAAAGAAGTATTAAGAGCAAAATCCACTTAAATATTAAAAGTAAAAGCTCTCATGCCACTTTCAGAGTGTTATTTTATGATATTCTATTGGATTGGACTGTTCTATTGTTCAATTTAAATGCTACATCGAGTCAAAATGGAGCTCATTTTAACTACTTAATATACTGTTGGGTAGTTTAGGCAGGCTGTAACAATGTGTCATAGAATTAGAAGTAGTATGAATTGAGGGTTTACTCTTTAAAAAGTCAGAAAAAAACAACCTGAGGTGACATTTTCAAATGTCTTATTTTAGTCCAAAACTACTAATATATTATGTTCTGTTCTACTCGGACTACATCTAAGTACAGTGCTTGAGTAAATGTTCTTTCCACCAGTGGTAAGCACAAAGCAGACACACGCGGGAGGGTCTGGAGGGCTGAGGGGGGTTGTGTGAAGGGGTGTTACTGTACCTCCTGGGCGGAGATGAGAAGCAGCTGCTGAGTCCTCTGCTATTTACAGCTCTCTCCTCTTCCTATCCTACCCTCTCATTTTCCAAAACACTGCTTTTTCACCCTCTGCCTTTCCTTGCCTGGCTTATATGAAGCGCTCCAGCAGCTCTGCCTCAGGCCGAGGTCGCGGCGAACCACTAAATGAGTGGTTATAGGACAGCTCCCAGCCCTCGTTGTGAGACCTCGAGACCCTCATTTGTGTGTTCTCAGTCCACCCATTCTTCAGCCACTCTGATCTGGACTTTGC